GAATATGTATAGGTTATTTTGAGGCAACGAGGGGATATGTGATTTATTCACCGAGGCGCGCAGCGCCGAGGTGAATAAACACATATCCCCGAGGTGCCTCAAAATAACGTACTTATTTTTCACACTGCGAGGTCGCGTTAATGAGTCAGAAAAGAAATAATTCTTAATGCCATATTGCTTTTGCGATGTTGTTTTTTCTCATTTTTTGTGCTGCAAAGACATTGCAGGTGAATATTAGAGGGGATTATTAATTGCAGGTGAATATTAGAGGGGATTATTAAACGGAAATTGATTAGAGGGGAATATTGAATATATTCCCCGACAAGAACAAAGGAAACCGAGCAGGGTGAAAAATAAGAGCTTGTAATCATCACCTTCGCCGACAAATTGTTAATTAGTACAATGGTATAGGTACGTCAATATTCTTATACAATATTTCAGGATGCTGCATGCATGCATGCACATGTCTACCATTAATACCATACAATTCTCTATATCTTCTTAGCTTTTCCTCCCAAAACACAATGAAAACAGTAGTAACTACGTTTGTGTCGTAGCTAATTCCTAATTCATAACGTTAAAAAAATTTCGTAATCTGTTTAATTATTTTTAGTTTTAAAATTGAAAAATCACACCGGAATCCACCCTGGCTAACAACTAGTCCAAAAATATTTTCTCGAGTATTTGAATGTGTTTCTAAATAAATTTGACGCTAAAAATAGGTAAATGCATTAATTAATCCGAGCTTTTAGGTTGACTGCTTTAAATTTATCTATAGATTTATACAGATTTTAATAGATGCATGTTTCATAAGTCGAAACAAATAAAATTGGTTTTGGTACCGATTTTCATTATTTTCCTAATTTATCGGAAACGAAAGGATTTCTCATCATAAAGTGGATCAAAGTTGCTTATCTGGTCATTCTGTGTAGACAATTTTTTCGTTCAAGATATGTAGAAAAGACATACGTTTGTAATATCAGTTACACGGGATTGTTTATTTTGGCAGAGATTTTGGGACTTGATACACTGTGAAACGTAACAGTCAAAATGAACTAAATGCTCAGCAGGAATTTAGCCTAATAAAATACGTCTTCTGTTTCTAGCCGGTCAGTGGGTATCTCCAAAACTGACTCAGCAACGTGGCTTTTTTTCTTTTTCTTTTTTTTAGACGCTGCATGGTGGATTACAGACATGTTGAGTAATTTTCTCGTAAAACTAATACATTGATTTTTTAAACTCTGTTAGTTTACAAGCGGATTGAATTTCGGGTGGATTCCAATATCCCAGGAAATTCGGTTAGTCAAGTTTACCAGGTTTCACAGAAACCCACTTTAAAGTGGCGTATTGTAAAGACAAAGTAAGGCGTAAGATAGTTACTTTCAAAATCGTGTGGAACCTATGCTCGTAAACGCAATCTTTAAGTCTCTATTATAATTATATATCTATACTGAGCACCTGGCAGTAGTATACAGTGCAGCACATAACTTTATACGGTCAGCAAAATTCAAGGCAATCTGAAACAAAGAAAAATGGTTTAGTATATTTGTATTATATCTATGCTCTTAAATACAAATTGCCAATGGTTGAAACAGCCTCATTTGCCTCATTTCAGATCTGAGTCAACCGGTTTGTGTGTTATTTTGACTGGTGATTAGACAATACAAGTGCTTAAAAGTCAAAACTAACAGTTTCTTTTACAGATATTTGGATTTATTTACTTTCGTTTTTCTGCGTAATTTCGCACATAATCTTTCACATTCGTCCATGACCTGTCTTTATTCACTAAAGTCTGATTGTCTTTCAGGGACTTCAGACATTCATTCTTTTTTGGTAGTACACCACGACGAATGTGCTTTTTGAATGTTTCCAATGCCGCATTCCTTTCAGGTGTCGTCCAGGCTTTCTTTTGCACTTTTTTTCGTTTTATTTTTCGACCTGCATTAAACAATTAATAGGATTTTAGTAGAATTTTTAAATAATCAGAAAGTGCGGTCGATAGGTTGTCCAAACTACCTGAACAACTTTGACATTTCAAATGTCAAAGTTGTTCAAGTAGTTTGAACAAAGAAAACTCGAAATCGCGAAAGTTTAATTGCTTTCTATTCTATTTTTCGGATAGTTCGAACAAGTTTTCTTTTAGTAGAACTTATATTTGTCCGCGAAGAATTTGGAGAGAATATAAGATCAAATGCATTCCAACTATCAACATCTTGTAAACTCAAAATTTGAGGGTTTAAAACAATTAAACTTGATTTTTTTTTAATAAATGTTAGCATTCAGTACTTTGGATAACTTAGGTTATAGCCCGCCTGCAGACCCAAGCGAACTGATAGTGGGCCTGCAAGCTTGCAAGGCCCGGTATTTTGTACTTTCCGCGTTCGCCCAGGAACGCGGCATTCTGATTGGCTGTTTGCTGTTGGATTCTATAATTAGATCAGTGATTCATCACAAAGGCTCTCGATAAGCTTAAAGGTCGAAAATTGATCACTTTTTTCGATTATAAATGGAACAAGAACAGACTGTTTATTGTTTACTTGAAGGAAGAGATGTTTTTGCCGTTATGCCAATGGGGATTGCTTGTCGTGAGGTGTTGGAATAGCAACATTACGACTGGGGTAAACTATAGTAACCTTTTCAAACAGACTTGATACGTTATATGTTCCTCAAGAAAATTATCTTTTGGTAGATGTTCACTCTGTTCTTGCACTGAAGAAAAACAGCGCTTTTCGCGGTGAAGATTTAGAGGCAGTTGCATGTAAGCCTATTCGAAACACTTTGCGATTCAGTTACAAGGCTTCGCTGACAGAGCGAAACAGAAGACGGTATTAAGTTGCCGTTTGAAACGAAACGATCTGGACTCTGAACGCTCTCTTCTTTTGTAGGGTTCTTTACCAAATGAAATAACTGAAATAAATTTCGTACCTTCCGCCGCCAACAAGAATTGCACACACGATCTGATATGTGCATGAGACAATTTATTTATAACAATGGCGACAGCGAAGCACACATTATAAATGCTAATGTGTCGCACGACTTCCCTCACGATTTGAAGTTTGAGACTGGTTTTCTGTTGAAATTCGTCCTAATTTGCCTGTTCCGATTTTAGTTGAAAATGAGCACTTGCAAATTTGGCAACTACTGACTGCGTTGCTTGCTTTTTTTGAGTTAAAACGCAGCCATTTACACATTGTTTATGTTCTGAATAAGCAGAGAAAACCCCGCAACATTTTAATGCGAGTTTTGTTAATATTTGGGTTTTGTCATTGGTTCTTTTTTGACAATTGACGCGCGAATGGGGCGTGTTATGAAAAGGGCGTTTACAAAATACCGGGCCTTGCTTGCAGGCCCACTATCAGTTCCCTTGGGCCTGCACGCGGGCTACTTAGGTTAAGTCATACAGCTATTTCAATTAAGGTTGTCCCGAAGCAAAGCGGAAAAGTCAAATACGAGCGCGAAAAGCTTGCTGGGAGTGACGATTAAAAATACACAAACAGAACAAAATTTAGTTTCTAGAGATACGTAGTCGCGATTTAAATTTATATAAGAAAGCAAGATCTAATTTTAAACTTAGTGGAAAACCTATGAATGGTAATGTATTCGGGAATCAAACTAGTCTTTCCCGATAAGCCTTTCGCGCTCATATTCGACCTTTTCCCTTTTCTTCGGGACAACCTTAATTGAAATAGCTGTATACAGCTAATCCAATTGAGGTTGTTCAGTAAAAAGTCAAACTATACTCAAAACGACAAAACATCGTTAAATTCAGTCTATTATTTAGGTGCTCATACACTTCGCCTCTGAATATCTTTATCATATTCTTGTTATTTTAGCTATCAGGCAACTGTCAGCGATTTTCAATGATAGATTACCAATGAAAGTTATTAAGGAATAAAAAAATTCCTGTATTCTTTTCGAGCGCGAAGTTCTAAAAGTTTTCAAGTTGAAATAAATTTTATTTGTTTAACAGAAAACGCATGCATGTTCGATAATTTTTTGATGGCATGCAGTGAAACTATAATTATACAAAGAAAAGTGTTATCTATTCGGCCTCTTCAACAAATTGCCGAAATGTGTAAAAGAAAAAGGAATCAGTGTAGGAAAATTTTTCAAACCAACTTGTGTGACTTCTGTCAGCAGGAACAAGTAAACAATGTATGTTCTTTCACGTACTAATGTACACTAGTGTAGTTTTGTTGAAGAGGCCAAATAGATAACACATTTCTTCGTAAAATTATAGTTTCAGCCGGGTTTTTTAGAACAAAGTCTGTACCTTAATTGTTGCTGCGTGGTATATATGTTATAACATGCATGATTTTTTTTTCGTATGTCTTGATCATTGACTGCGGCAGTTTAATATTATTCTTTGTATAAGCATAGTTTTCTTATTCAGAAAGCTTTCTCCTCAAGGGCCACCATGCAGTCAAGTTTCAGTTGCGTAATATATTTTCAGAGCTAATCTCGCAACTATTGAAGATTTATTGGAGTTGCACACCCCTCGCCCACGGATGACATTACTCTTGTGTCGTATATGTGGACAACGATTATACTCGATTTATCATAAATAATCTTCGTGCAAACCTGTTGTGGCGTGAATGGGCTCCTTGTGTGAGGCCGTAGGTGAATCCAAACTTTTACGCGTCACTAAAAATTCAGAAACCAAAAGGTAATCGTTAAGATTAACTTTAACTATACTATTTAAATTATAGGCATCATACGAGATATTGAGTTATAGTCGACTTGTCGCTAACCAACGATTAGAAGGTACTTGTGAGATCATGAAATCCTTTGTAGATATAGAAAGTATTTGCAATAGACCTTTTCGACACTGAGCAACACGTGTAGTACGTAACGCGTGACATAAAACATAAACAAACCGAGAAAGTTCGAACAAGCTTTAAAAAGTGATCTATTGATAGTTCAAACATAGCAGCGTATTCGCGAAAAAAAAGAAGTGTCTGGTTGATTTTAAACGAAGGAAGATGGAGACGAAGGAAAATAAAGATATTGATATTGGTAAGATGGCTGTAATAGACCATATTGTGGATTTGTCGTTCAGCTAGTTTGTTCGAACTTTCCCGGTTTTTTACGTTTTACATCACGCGTCGCTACACGTGTTGCTCAGTGTCGAAAAAGCCAATTTTATAATCTGCTCTAAATGAGGCCTTCCTCCTAAAACACTTGCTGCTGTTGTTCAGGGCAAAATGAGTTCTTCAACGCAATTCGTCGATGCATGCGTGCACCTGTATTCGCAACATGTCATTAAGAGCAAAAAGAAGGTCAATATAATTATCATAAACCGAACAGACGGTCATTCAGTAATAGGCGAGCGCAAATGGCAAACGTATAACGCTTACAGTCATAACATGGGACATTCTAAACATATCTGATTTATTATAAATATACCTTTACCTTCCTCCGAATCTGACTCATCACTTGGGATATTGTCAAAATCTGAAAAAAATAAGATGTATCTGAAAAGGTAACATAACGTAAAACTACTGATAAGATGAATTTTCCCTGGGCACCTGCACGCCTCCCGTATTTGAACGGCCCTGAACTTAATATATTGAATAATGTATAATGTAGTTGTAGTTTAATGCTCGTATTTTGACAGTACCTTGAAGGGTAATATCTCGTAGGTTTTTTCCTTTGAATTGATGGGCCTTCCCTTCATCGATGGCCATCAAAAGGTTGCCCACAACTGCCATCTCCAAGGTGCTTTCTTGCATCCGATAGAATTGTTTATGAATTTGGATGTCGTGCCCAAGATGTGTGGCCAGCCATCCAAGTTCATTGTGATCCATATCGATCAACTGCGACACCGTCCCCGCATACTTTCTTAAACTGGTTGATGTGATAACGTCAGGATGCTGCAAGTCAACCATACTCATGCATGCCTGACGTATCACATCATTTCCTCTACGATGCTTCGTGGACTTCCCATTGTTTACAGCGAACACGTACGTGTTTTCTTTGGTCACATTTCCTTTTCCCCTGGTGCTATTAAGGACCACAATAGCCTCTTTCACGTCCGGTGTCAGCAAAACAGGCACGTTCCTGTTCCTCTTACCCATTATCTCCACCATATCGAATCTATAATTAAATTCAAATGATGCATCTTTAATAAATAATGTTTGTACAGTACAGAGTATTTTCTATGATTGGCAATTTTTTTCATGAACAAAGATCATCAAATCAAATGTTACCAATAACCATGGAAATATTGAACAAACGTGAAACAATTATTTGGTAAATTAGTTCTTTCAAAGTTGGAATGGTGAAAAAATATTTTAAATATTGTAGTTACACTACGTAATTCTATTATCGCAATAATAAAAAAATGCGATAATAAAATTACGTGGTGTAACTACAAAATTTAAAATAATTATTTCATTAATTTCAATTTCAACAATGACATATTAGACCTGTCGGTTTACTTGCCTACCGTTTGCACAATTATTTTTCTGTTGCGGAGAGGGAGGACAAAATTTCCTCGTTGTGGATATTTTCCCACAAGGGCCGCGATAAGAATACATCCAGCTGCATTCGAGAAGCTTCCCCACCTATTTTAAGAAAAATTACATTAAATGTTTTAATAAAATATGATACAAATACAAACGAGAACTACGAAACGCTGACAATTTTAGTATGCTCCACAATAGCTACAAGTGTACTTTTTAGGCGTTTTGGCAATTATGTACTTTACGTTCAACCAGATTTAGTAAATCATTTAGACGACAAAATGCCACTTGTTTCTAAAATGTAATTAACTCACTGATTTTTTTCTCCAGAATTTAGGAAGTAAAAATTTAATCTCAAGTGTTTCTGCTCCCGCGCGTGAGATTTTAACGAATGCACGGGCCACTATTCAGTCGTCAACTGTTCCACAACAAAACAAACAAAAAATATGATAGGTATACCTCTACGTTTGTTGAAAATTATCAGTCTGGCCAACGCTAAAACTGCCAGCTTTCTCCAATTTTCTTTTGCTGGGTTTTCGCGGACTTCGTTAGTGAGGGCTAAAATATTGTCATGTAGGAAGGCTCGCAGAATCATCAGATCGTTTGTGATGGGAAGATAGTGTGGCTTGTTATGTTTTTTGAACGAAAGATTTTGTAACGCCTGGCTGGTTACTTTGCCACTCCATTCACCCTCATATAGCTCCATGAAGAGATCCACGTTGTTCTTTCTTTCCATATCTTTTTCTCGTAGAGCTTTCCCTTTTACCACAAACGCAGCTTTTTTTAAGGCATATCCGCACTTTGCAGAGGTTGACGGGGCCTTGAAACGATCCGTACTCGCATTTGTTGCAGCAGTATACCCCCCAAGAGATCGCGCACTGTCAACAAGATGATCAAAATGGCCTGGCGTCAAGATCTCTCGGAGCGACACGGACGGGGTTCCACACAGCTTTCTCACATTTATCAGTAACCGTGCAAGTAGTCGCATTTGCTGTGACACTTCCACTGCTTTCTCATTTCCACGATTCTCAATTAAGGTTGAACCCACCATTAAGATGGTTTCATCTGTTCGGACCACAGCGCTGATGTCATCTAGCGCCATTATTGATAACACGTTGTCAGAGAGTTGTTGGCTGGCACCAGTTGGATAATTATTCGCCGCCAATAGCAACCTCCCTGCATGCTGCATTTTTTTGGAGCGGATGTTAGCCTGGTCGGCACCTTCAGCGAAAGGGCACTTCGAACTGTGGCGATACAGGTCTTTTCTCTGGAAAAAACCATGGCAAAACTGGCACGGCAAGTAATTGCTTGGATCTTTGTCCGCGTTTTGGCCAGGTCTTCGTACCACCTTTAGTTCGCCTTTTTGCAACTCCAGAACCTTTAAATTATTGTTAAAGTTACCCATTCGGCAAAGTCTTTCCAGCTGGAGCTGCCTTGCGGCGTTGTTGGTTTTGAGGGCTATTATTTTCGCCACCTCTTCTTCGTCGCTGTGAACTTGCATAAAATGGCGAGCCAGCTTGCTGTACTCTTTTTCGCAGAAGAAGCAACAGTTGGTTTTATCATAGACCCTCTTTCCATCTTTCTCACTCGCCGCAATTATGTACACTAGACAAGAACAAAAAATTTTTCTCATAATTAAATATGAATTGTCTTCATTCTTCCTGCAGGGCGTGATTGCCCGACAAATATCAAATCATGCCCTTGGAAATATAACAACGTTTGTTAGATGAAAAAAAATTCTTCTCAAGATTCTCGAACAAGGTATCGAAAAGGAATAAAATACGTTTGCATATGTATTTTCGATAATCTCTTTCGTTTGTAATGTCTTGTTTATTGACGTTGTCAGTACGACCGAAAAAGCTGTAAATGTTGGACTATATCTTTATCCGTTTAACAATCGCAAATAATTAGATAAAATGTGAAAATCTTACCTCCAGATTTTTTTGTTGTTTTGTCAAAACATTTATTTGCCATTGAATGTTTATTAATTAATTTAACATCATTTCCATCTGAAACATCACAACATTAAAAGTATTGAAGGACTGGTATTAGAATGTACTGATTTTTCATTTATTTGCCCGATGCCTGATGGGGTGAGTGAGGTAGGTAAACACTTCATGTGGAACCTTGCGAAGTATAATGATAATAGTTGAAATTAGTACTGGCGGTGAAATAGGCGAATGATAATGAATTGTTACTATATAGTAACAAGGAACGAGGTGGTACACAGAGAGATGAGGGAAAGGAAAAGTGATTGAGAACAGCGGGAAGAAGCTAAATTGGGTTTGGGAACACCGGGTGAGCATATGAGTTCCACGGCAGTTAAAGAGACCCGATCAGACGCTTGAGGAGAGCGAAAAGAAAGAGATTATGAAAATAGATATGGCATGGCCAAATCATTCGAACAAAGACGAAAAACGACAGGAGAAGGTAAGAAAGTATCAGCAGCTCTGTTTTGATCTACGGGAAGGACGGGACAGATATAACGTAAAAGTTATACCATTAGTTATACATCGGTGATTGGCTGTTTAAGAGACGGGATGAAACGACCGAAAGATGATATATAAGAGGATTGTTTAACAACGAGAAAGATTTGCAATGGATATAAGTAGAGAAATGCAAAAGACTGTACTGATAATAATAATAATAATGGTAATAATAAATCTACATTAGTATGCCCTGGAAATTTACCTTCGGCTTCGTCATCTTCACTTTCAGACTTGGATTCCTCGCCACTTGAACAGTCTTCCTGTATTAATATAATGGCCGGTTACGAAAGATTTAAAGTTGCCAAAATACTATTTTTTATGATACTACGACATAATATACATTGTGGTTTCACAACAGCAGAACGAAAATGGTCAGTTAGGTAAATCAAATATACATGCGGTGGCTGCTGGGAAAGAAAATATCTCTAAGTGCTTGTGGAAAGACCATATCACGGAAAAGTGAGTAAAACAGACCGAACTATTGGTGAATTAGATGAAACTGTTTGTATTAATGAGCCTGTGGAAAGTTTACGCATTTAATGTGTTTCATCTGATGACAATGGTTTCAGGATCATATAGAAATAATGAAATTGTCTTGTCAACCAAGTCGGGGACGAACCTAATTTATTATACAAACTAGCCTCCAGTTTTACTAAAGAGACCTTTAGTCATATAGGCCTAATATTCGATTATCATTCACTTTACAGTAGTCGCAATTTTGATTGGTTAACTTCAAATACCTGCGTGCAAATAATAGTATGAGCATGCGATTGTCATCAATTTTTTGAAAACAAGATGAGTTGTCTTGCTTACTTGAAAAAAAGTGGAAAACATAAGACAAATGATAAAACAATTATTAAACATGATTCTCGCAGAATATCGTGATTTGTCGGTGGCTCACATGCAGATCAGTTATTTGCCTCTGCCTTCGGCTTCAGCATCGGAAAATAATTAATCTGTTTGATAATTTTCTCATGCAACCTCATACAAAAATTGATAATTATCATGCTTTCAGCTGCGAAGGCAGGCATAAAAGTCGGTTCGAACCTGGACCCGCCCCCAGTATGAACTTCATATATTAGATTATTAACCCCCAGCCCTAACCCGAAATCAAGCCGGAAGCGGATTTGCGATAAGGGATATTGACTGAAAATTCTGAACGTCGATTGGCTGCGCTTGAGGTGATTCAAGCACTTGTAGTCGTGCTTTATCAGATATGCACGACTACAAGTGCTTTAAATTGCTTAAAAAAACGACCCATGTTTATGAGTTTATTGGCGAAGAGATTTTCAAAATCAACGTTAAGGCGAATAATTGTTAATTAATGGATTGTATCAGTCGTATCAATAGATAAGGACGTGGTTATACGGCTGCAATGTAAACGAGATGTTTTAAATATATAAAATTTCAAGTTGTTACAGTAAACTGTCACTGTGGTGAGTGTGCGGCAAAATCCCTGATCTATGTGAATATTTTATGAGCTGTCAACGTATTTACCTCAAGATCCGGATCCTGACGAATTGTTTCCGAATGACTTGAATTATCTGCAAAAAGAAGAAAAAGTATTTCATTTACTCCATGGGTACATACACAAGATAAGTGACGCTTTCTTTTTCTTTCTTTTCTCCCCCCCCCCCCAGTGTTACTCTGTGTCTGTTAGCAATGACCTCATCAAAAATCATGTGAATCTTTGTTATCCCTTCCTGCACACAAAGATGAATGCCTCCACAGCAAACAATTCTATTAATAAATTGTCATCTTTCACCCAGTGTCACGTGACAGTACTGTGATATATCAAATTGATTCTGACAACAGCGAGCTCTCAGAGGGGTATATTACTGTTAAAGTGTACAGTATATTTTCTCCTAATTTTGAAAGTGAGCGCAGTGATATCACCTTTAAAAGCATATTCGTCATCATTATCTTTGTCTGAATCTTCGCCTTTAAAAGAAAACGATAATTTATTATTTTTTAATCACATACATAACTTGTAAAATATACAGTAGCTAATAAAATCAAATGAGTTAAATTAAAAATTATTCGAATAGAAACGTGCTTGCGTTTTTGTTAGAATGTGTCAATTCATTAAATTAAGGTAGCAAATGAGCCAACTCCATAGACGTAGTTATGACACTATAAAAATTAGACAGGAAGACAGTTCAAAATTAAAAATAATATAGTGCATGACATAGCTGTGTACGCTAGAGCATACACGACAGAGTTATTTTACACTCTTGACGAGTAAACAACGACGAAGTCAGATCGAGAAACATTAAAATGTGATATATAATCTATACTAGGTTACCCACAGGGCAGTAATGCTGCCTTTGGCAGCAAAAGACAAACTACAGGGTGTTGAACAAGTGGCTTCAGAAACATCCTATTTTTGTTTAGCCTGCATGGCAGGCGGTTCCTAAAATTGGGCAAGCCTGGGAAATACCGCCTGCCATGCAGGCTAATTATTGTTATCCTTGTTAACCCATTTATTGACAGTACCCTACCACTGACTGAGTATTAAAAAACGTCTGGCGTTGGACAGGGTAAATACTAAAGTGGGATCATTACTGTGCTGATGAATTAGCAAGAGCCATTGGCAGATTGGTTTGTTAACCCATTTACTGGCAGTACCCTATACCACTGACGAGTAAAATCTTCTGGCGCTCAACAAGGGAAGGGCGCATTGCCAGCTAATGGTTAAACCACCGTGGTTAAACGTAAGATTTCATGATGCTCCAGGAAATGTAAACAAGCTATCAGTGTGACATCCCAGTTTATATATTTATATACTCGGAATATTGATTTCTCGGCCAGCGAAGACGTAAGGCACTAACTACCCTGCGCGGCTGCGCGCAGACTATATAACGACATATATATATATATCATCCGTCCGGTCCGTCCGTCATTCATTCATCCGTCCGTCCGTATCCGCGTTTTATCCTAACCCTTTTTTAAAACACAAAGTTTGCATCTAAGGCAGTGCTGTTCGTCATGATCAATATTTTCAAAAGCGGCCAATTAGACCAGGGGTTAAAGGGCAATGACAATGACATGCAGGTGACATTTAACATTGCGTCTCACTAATTAAAATTTGCGTGTAAAATATATACAAAAATATATACAAGACAATCTCACATGTGGAATTTTTTCACTTACAGTACGTACTGCCTTGTGATGCAGTACAAGTATAAATACAAATGACAAAGCATTTGTAAATCCTAAAACATAATTAAATCATACGGCACATTTAAGATTTTAATATCGTATTTCAGCCACGTTTATACTGTTTGGCGCATTCGCTGTGTTATATTCATTTACACGTATATATACACAGAAAAGCATGTCATTGTCCTTGCAGACCATAGGCAAAAAGCATTTGTCAACCATGCACATACCAAATTTAAGCAATCGTTAAATCATATACATGTCATGGAAAGAATATGGAAATAATGTTGAATGAAAGCTAGCAACGCGTATAATATTAAAAGCACCGCATATAGTGCTCGAACCACTGCGTATAATTGCAAAAGCATCGCGTATATAAATGGTGAAAGCACCGCGTATAATACTGGAACCACCGCGTATAATGGCGAAAGCACCGTGTATAATGCCGAAAGCACCGCCGTATAATGCTAAAAGCACCCAACAAAATGCCGTTTGATCACTCTAAGCCAGCTATGGCTTTCCATAAAAGAAGACCAAAGATGAAAGATGATCACATCGCTTGTTTGCTTTATGCCTGACCGCGCTGCACCACGGTTAAAATTCATTTGTACCGTCATGCAATGCGCCAAATAGAAAATTTTGATTTCGACCCACAAAACAAAACTAGGTTACCCACAGGGCAGTAATGCTGCCTTTGACAGCAAAAGACAAACTACAGGGTGTTGAACGAGTCCTTCAGAAACATCCTATTATTGTTTAGCCTGCATGGCAGGCGGTTCCTAAAATTGGGCAAGCCTGGAAATACCGCCTGCCATGCAGGCTAATTATTGTTATCCTTGTTAACCCATTTATTGACAGTACCCTACCACTGACCGAGTATTAAAAATCGTCTGGCGTTGGACAGGGTAAATACTAAAGTAGGGGGTCATTACTGTGCTGATGAATTAACAAGAGCCATTGGCAGATAGGTTTGTTAACCCATTTACTGGCAGTACCCTATACCACTGACGAGTAAAATCTTCTGGCGCTCGACAAGGGAAGGGCGCATTGCCAGCTAATGGGTTAAACCACCCTGGTTAAACATAAGATTTCATGATGCTCCAGGAAATGTAAACAAGCTATCAGTGTGACATCCCAGTTTATATATTTATATACTTGGAATATTGATTTCTCGGTACATACAAAATTATTTTAAAGTATAACAACCAGCGAAGACGTAAGGCACTAACTACCCTGCGCGGCTGCGCGCAGACTATATAACGACATATATATGTCATCCGTCCGGTCCGTCCGTCATTCATCCGTCCGTCCGTATCCGCGTTTTATCCTAACCCGTTTTTAAAACACAAAGTTTGCATTTAATTAATTAAGGCAGTGCCCAATTAGACCAGGGGTTCAAAGGGCAATGACATGCAGGTGACATTTAACATTGCGTCTCACTAATTAAAATTTGCGTGTTTAATAGTGTTTATCAAAGAAAGCAAAAATATGTACAAGACAATCTCGCATGTGGAGTTTTTTCACTTACAGTACGTACTGCCTTGTGATGCAGTACAAGTATAAATACAAATGACAAAGCATTTGTAAATCCTAAAACATAATTAAATCATACGGCACATTTAAGATTTTAATATCGTATTTCAGCCGCGTTTATACTGTTTGGCGCATTCGCTGCGTTATATTCATTTACATGTATATACACAGAAAAGCATGTCATTGTCCTTGCAGACCATAGGCAAAAAGCATTTGTCAACCATGCACATACAAAATTTAAGCAATCGTTAAATCATATACATGTCATGGAAAGAATATGGAAATAATGTTGAATGAAAGCTAGCATCGCGTATATTAAAAGCACCGCATATAGTGCTCGAACCACTGCGTATAATTGCAAAAGCATCGCGTATATAAATGGTGAAAGCACCGCGTATAATACTGGAACCACCGCGTATAATGGCGAAAGCACCGTGTATAATGCCAAAAGCACCGCCGTATAATGCTAAAAGCACCCAACAAAATGCCGTTTGATCACTTTAAGCCAGCTATGGCTTTCCATAAAAGAAGACCAAAGATGAAACATGATCACATTGCCTGTTTGTTATGCCTGACCGCGCTGCACCACGGTTAAAATTCACTGGTACCGTCATGCAATGCGCCAAATAGAAAATTTTGATTTCGACCCACAAAACAAAATTAGGATCTGCTGCCTTGCTCGCTCGCTTCAGGCTGCGGCAGCAATTAAAAATGCAGTCCGTTTGATCCCTGATAACTTCGGAATTGTTGGGTTTTCTCGTTTTCGGCCGTATGCCAGTCGATTCGTCTCACTTTTCTCTTCATCTTGATAGTATTTTGAGCCCAAAATATTTTATTTTGAAGGCTTTAAAACGCAGTTTCGACCCTAACGTACGGACCAACTGGCGGCCGACAGGAGAATGTAGCGTGCTAAATATTAAACTAGGGTACCTGCAAGGTAGGGATTGCTGCGGGCATCAAAAGCAAATAGAACCACAGTAAAGAGCGCAAATTATATCAAGCACAGTGATTACTCGCAGCGACTAGTGAGCTGTGAATGGAACTGAAAAGAAGGACAAGAAGCAATATATATTGAAGTAGCAAAGATTGAAGTAGCAAAGACCAGGGGTTAAAGGGCAATCAGAGGTGACAGATATTAAACATGTGCGATTTCATATCAAGTCTGTCAAGTCATATCTGCTCGGTGCATTTACCACATTATATAGACTATATACACAGATTTATCACACTAAGAAACCAAAATTTTATAAAAAATATAGAACTGACAGTGGCCAAAGTCCAAAACAAATGTAAGCGTAACATTAGACGTCACATGAAAAAGCTTTAGAAATTCGATAAAAATTCGATGGTGGGTCCTCGCAGACCTCGCGCGCTCACTTTTCCCTCACTAGAAACTTGTATGTATGTATGTATGTAATGTATGTAAAACTTTATTTCAATACGCTAACTTCGACAATTATTTACAACTGGTTTCCACGAAGGGCGTATACACACAAAGAGCTAAATGTTAATTATATATAGAACAAAATATGTAAGAATCCCACCCTAAAATTTTATCATCTTCCTCCCAAACCTCCACCCCCTAAAACAAGTACCCACCCACCCTCACGCAAAACTAACCCCCCTCCCGCCCACAATCTATATTGTCCTCCCATCATTTGGTCCTGGAGAAATTAGCTTATCATCTGCTTAAATGCAATTTCGCCACTGTTTTAAACGACGTAATTGACTCAGCCGCCTTGACATCTTGCGGAAGACTATTCCATAGAATTGCTCCACTGTATCCAAATGTTTTCTTTAGAAATTCCGTTTTCGGTTTTTTTAACGAGAGATCAGTTTCATTATTGCGTAAATCATAAATATTCTGCGATGCATTTCTCCGAGAAAAAAGATCTTTAAGGTTTGGCGCAGTGTGGTTTCCCAAGACTTTATACATCAATACTAGCTTGTTTTGTTCTCGTCTCCTAGCCAGGGTTTCCCAGCCTAATTTGTTTAGGACTTCAGACGATCTTACATCGTAGTCAGCTCCGGTAATCACCCTTGCTGCTCGATTTTGGAATTTTTGCAATTTGTCTTGAAGTCCCAAACCACAGTTATCCCACAGGGGAGAACAGTAATCAAAATGAGGCTGAATTAACGTTTTGTAGACATCATGTAAGGTTTTCTGTGGAACATAAGGTTTTATTCTTTTAATTGCTCCTATTCCAGCGCTAATCTTATGGCATACAGAATCAATATGTTTCTCCCAACTTAATTTTTCATCTAGACTTACACCTAGACATTTAAATGTATTGGTTTGTGGGACTTGGATTTTGTTAATCTCAACTTACGGGTCTATTTCCTATTTTATGATTTAGATTATGCGTAGATCCAATAAACATGACTTTTGGTCTATTTCCTATTTTATGATTTAGATTATGCGTAGATCCAATAAACATGACTTTTGTTTTTTTCCTATGATATTTTAGTTTGTTTTTAGCAAGCCATTTATGAATATTGGAAAGGTCCATATTCAAATTGTCAATCAATGTATCGTAATCATGCGAAGAGGAAGATATCTGAGTGTCGTCGGCATAAAGACATGGGGTTGTCCTTTCTAAAATGTCAGGCATATCATTAATATATAGCAAAAACAATAATGGACCAAGTATGGATCCTTGCGGAATTCCGCATATTATTGTTCTTGCAGAAGAAGTTTGATCATTAACAGAACACACTTGCTTTCTATTCCTTAAGTATGATTGGAACCATTTTAATTCAATGTCGTGAATTCCAAACTGGGTTTTAAGCTTCTCCAATAATATCTCGTGATTCACCGAGTCAAATGCTTTACATATATCAAGAAAAACAACTCCATTTATTTTGCCTTCATCCATGTCTTGTAGCCATTGATCACACATTTGTATAAGAGCACCTAAGGTTCCATGTTTTGGTCTAAACCCGGATTGAAATTTAGACAGAAGCGCATGTTTATTCAAAAAGCTATATATTTGAGTAAAAACTTCCCCTTCAAATATTTTACTTATTATGGGAAGAATTGAAATTGGTCTATAATTTTCGCATTTACGCTTATCCTCAGATTTGTAAATTGGTATAACTCTAGCTAATTTCCACTCATCTATATAAATACCAGTTCTAATCGATAGGTTAAATATAAAAGTTATAGATGGAGCAATAAGGGTTGATGTCAGTTTTAAAATATTCGCAGGTATTCCATCCATACCTGTCGCTTTTGAGACATTTAGTTTTTGTAGGCGTTTGGAAACACTATCTATAGTAATATCTGCGAAGTGAAAATTTTCTTTAGGAAGAAGCACAGTACTTTCATAAATTACTTGATCATTTAAAGCATCAGTGCTTTGACATGCTGATTCAGCAGCCATCTTCATTCCAATATTTATAAAATATTCATTTAATGTTTCAGTAATAGATTTATCATCAGAAATAATATCATCATTTACTTTCAGTTCATTAATATTTGCATTCTTATGCTTTCTTCCTAAGAGCGAATTTATCCAAGCCCATCCGCTTTTACTGTCTCCCATTTGAGAGCTTGCCTGGATTTTATCACAAAAGTACTTAGATTTTGCTTTCCGCATGTTTATATTTACTTCATTACGTAGTGTTTTATACAATTCCCACTGTGACTCCGAATCATATTTTATGGCCTTTTTTTTGTGATAGTCCCTTTTTCTCATAAGTTCTTTAATTTGAGGATTAATCCATGGGACAGGGTTATTCGTTATTCGCTTGTGGCGCAGAGGGGCATGTCTATTAAGTGCATCTAATAATAGTGATTTCCAGACTTGCCAACATAAATTGGGATCTCCAAACTGATAGACCATCTCCCAAGACAATTGAGACACATCCCGAGTGAAATCATTTTCGACAAAGTTTTTAAAGTTACGAACCTGACGAATTTTTTGCCTTCCTTTCGGTAGTGTAAATTTTCTCACAGCGTAGACAAGGCTGTGATCTGAAATTCCCAGGTGAATGATCACACCTGATCTGGAAATATTTTCTGGTCTATTTGTTAATATTAAATCAATTAGTGTAGCTGATTTAGGAGTTAGCCTTGTAGATTCTTTAATAAGTTGGTCTATCTGATACAGAGAACATAAAAATTGCAACTTACATGTGTGAGGGTCAGGTATAGTTTTACTGACATCACAATTTAGATCTCCTATGAGGATTAGCTCCTTATCTTCATTATCACATTTTGCTAAAAAGCTTGCCCAGTAATCAAATATATTCATATGAGAATTTGGTGGTCTATACCATGTGCTTATTAGCAGTGATTTATTGTAGGGTAAATTTAATTCAATGCAGACCATTTCAAGTTCATCAGGGATTAGATCTATTCTGTCTGAGAATGATATGTTTTGGCGAACATATAGAACCACACCTCCACCAAACCTATTTCGATCTTTACGAATTATATTAAAACCATCAATATGTATCTCATTATTTGAAATCTGATTTTCAATTTTGGACTCATTAATTGCAAGAATGTCAAGGGCGTTATTGTTAAGGATGAAGCGAATTTCATCCAGATGTTTCATTAAGCTATTTACATTTAAGTTGGCTATTTTTTGAAATGGGCCTTTCTATTAAGTAATATATTAGTAGGGGATAGCGATGTGGCCGACATACTACGCATGAATCCCGGGGGGTCTAGCCACATTAATCCCCGAGAGAAATTTTGAAATTGGAAGCGCGGAAATGCTTAATCTTAATTTGCTTTAAAATTTATGCTATCTATACTTGTATTTGAAATAAAAGAAGGAAAAAACGCACAAAAAATAAAATATATATATAAACAATAATTTATCATTACTTAGTGGTAGAAAACGTAACAATTTAAATCGATTTTGTTAAACAAGGACAAAGGATAAAGCTTAAAACTAACTTTCCGTTTATCTATTTGTCATTCTTCGCTGGTTGTTTGTATAAACTTAGGAAAAAGGGACTTATCCTGGAGGTTTGGGTACTCCCCCACGAACTCACGTTTTGCTCCCACAAAGGTGACTGGGGCATTTCTCCCCTCCTCAGCTTGTATGTTAAAATATGCCCTGGATTTTGCAAGTGCTTTTATAAACAATGAGCAAGGCTGTTGCAGCAGAAGTTTAACCTAAATTTCTAGGAACACTAAGACAAAAACTAAGAACGATGTTACATGTTTCCGCAATCTTCACATGATTTTTGCCTTAAGCCATCATCATTCTCTACAGCATGCGAATTTAATCTATTAATGCCAACTAACTGTCACCTTAATCTCAAAGTAACTACTTAACTGCGTATCCACGTATCCGCGTATCCACTTAAATATAGAGTTATATCCAACCTCGTTCCCAGGGCTTTCGTATGAGGACGAGAGGAGAGACGAGAAAGTCCTGGTCTGGGCCGGTCAATTTTGCATTTTGATTGGCTAACACCATATTAATTGTCTAAAAATAACTGAACTTGACAGTTGACAATAACAATTCAACATTTGTATTTTTATGATTCTTGTGTGTACGAGTATGTTTTGCAAAATAATCTTTCAAAGTAAGACGTATTCTCGACTGCAAGATTTACTTTCGCCTTGGCAGGTTACAAAACTCAAAAGCCGTGTCGACGTGAGCTGTGATGTTTCCTGACAAAACAAGAAACGTCTACTATTATTTAGTAAGCTGTAGTTTTCCCGTCTACTATTATTTAGTAAGCTGTACGTAGATGTCTGATGAAATATTACGCGTATTGCACTGTAGTAATATTTTAATTTACAATATTCTATACTGACAAATAAAAGCAAGACAAACAATTAAATGAAACTACTAAATTAATTTAGGCCCTGTTTACTTAATAGCTCTCGCCTAGGTCGATGTAGTCTCTACAAGATTCGTTACGCCACCGAGTTTTACAGTTTCAGCCGAATACCCCGAATACATGAAAATTGTGATTATACGATAAAATAAAACAAAGATTGTGAAGAGGATAAAAATTTGTAGGCAAGCATTGCTCCTGAACCGCAAGTGTTGGTGTCCGGCAAAACAAGCGAATCCGTATATTCCTGTACAGCGTAAACAGGTTACGCGAGGTTTTATAATTGTGTTTAGGCCAATAAAAATTGATATCATGTTTCTCGTCCCCGCCCGCATGGGATTTATCTGCCGCACGAAAATTTTTCATTATTCATTATTTTTGAAAAATAGGCTTAACAAAACATCAAATTGATCTCCAGATCAAAGTCTTATTGCTGCATTCCGCAAGCGCAACTCAAATTTTATCTTTCTAAAGTCGTTACTCGCCAGAATGCCTCTATTTTTCATGTCAGCCCTGGTATGTGTAGAAATATACTGTAGGGTAGGACGTATTAAATTAAAATTAATTATGCACCGATTTACTTCATATTTTTATGGGTCAAGAAAATTATTGACAAGCAGAATTCAAATACAAAAAATAATGAAAAATGGAAAATCCCGCTCGAAATTTTTGAAAATTGTGGACGAGAAACATAATATCAATTTTCATTGGCCTTATTTATATCGAACTAAGTCAGATCAATAAGAGCATAATTATTTATTTAAACCAAACCGCTAAATATTAAAGGCAATAGCCATATTGTTCAAGACGAGAGAGGAAGCAATTTCGTGTGAATCACCACTTGCATGGAGACGCCTAGATGCAGCTTGGATGCAGCTTTGTTTGTGGATGAAAATCTCCAGAAATATCGGTATATCTTAGAAAACATAGACGGGGTCTTCAGAGATTTCAGCTGATTCGTGCCAAACTTCGCTACACATAAATAATATCAATTGAGAAGTCTTTTGGCTGTTTATTTGTTTCGAAGACTTGTATATTTCATCAAAGAATATCTCGTCACTTCTTGACGATTAGCTGTCAAATACTGCCATTTTTTGGGTAGTCACGTGACCGGCCCAGACCAGGGCTTTCTCGTTTCTTCCCTCGTCGTCATACGAAACCCCTGGGAACGAGTGTTGTGTCCTTTATTTCATGCATAGAACATTATAATGAAACATAACGTGAATATAAACTTTACAATAACTTTCTAGTCTGTTCGATCGTTTTCCTAACACATGTCCTTTCTCCCATAACACAGTCCATGTGGTCAGCGATCATTGTCAGTCACTACGGTTCACCCCTTCATGGATTAGAAACCTATCATGCGGTAGAACTATAACCGTAATAGTCTGGTTGTCGTTTTATAGAGCGACGAGGTCGTTCAGCAACAATTGTTTCTGGAGGTGTTGTCGCAACATCTGGGGCAGTTGTAACGGTTATTGGCACTTTCTTAACAGCCGTAGAGTGGCGCATGAGGCGGTAATTTCCATCGTCGATTAGGATGGAGTCGCCCTTGAAGGCGGTGACACGAAACGTATTGGCACGCCACGGTAGTGCTACTTTGCCTTTCTTTTCCGAACGGATAACGACCTGATCGCCGACTTTAATTGAGCTGGGCTGCACTTTCTTCTTAATGTCGTGGTAGCACTTCCCCTTTTGCTTGTTGTTGGCGTCGTGCTGTCGGTTGATGTTTATGAGCGCTGACGATGACCTACGGTTGATGTTTATGAGCGCTGACGGCTGTAGTGATGGATGCTTGTCGTTGACGTTTCGTCCGAACATCATGGCTGCTGGTGGCTGACCGGTGACCGTATGGGGCGTGGTACGATAAGCCAACCACCAAGCATCGATGGCCTTACGCCAGTCCCGTGACTCGGCTATTGCGGTTTCGACCCCTTTGTTGATACTGCGGTTGAGCCGTTCTGCTTCGCCATTCGCACGTGGATACCGGGGAGTTATTTTTTTGTGCTCAGGCCTTAAAATATTTTTGCCAGGGCCGTCAGACAAAATGTCCGATGACGTTGAGTTTGGGTCGGACATATGTCCGATGACCTTCAGTTCAGTTTTGACTCGGAAATAAGTCTGAATGACACAAATGAATAAACGGTAAATGTTGTAGAGATATTAAATACTTTGTTTCTTTCATATTTATTTCCAAGCCAAAATTAACTTGCTTGCCAGAACAGCAGTATTAAAAAAGGCTTCGACAACTTAAGCCCGTTTTCCTCTTCACCATTTCGCTTGCCACACCGCGCTCGACTACGTTAAAACAACATTTCCAGTTCACCTTTTATACATGAATACGATAGTACTCTGACAAGTCTCTAGTCCTGGGCTAGGGTACATTTTGATTTACGTCGGACAAAGCTACAGTTCGGTCGGACACCAATACACTTGGGTCGGACAAGCAATAAACCTCAGTTTCACTTTGGTCGGACAGAATGTCCGGTGGTTTCTTCTCTACGTCGGACAATTTCGCGAACGGGTCGGACAATGTCCGTGACCGACCAATATTTTAAGGCCTGTGTGCTTAATACCAAATTCTCTCATACGGTTAGAGAACCTGGATGACCGGAACATTTTGGCATTGTCCGTGACAATTTCCTGGTGTACTCCGTAGCGGGCAAAAATTCGATGAAGGCGCGGTTCCATGGCAGCAGTCGTGATATGCTTCATGATTTCTACTTCAGGATATCAACTATAATAGTCTACTAGCACCAATAGGTTTTCTCCGGTGGGAAATGGGCCTACGAAATCCATCCCTATCAATAACCAGGCTGCTTTTGGGAGGGTGGTGGGTTTCAGTGGGGTGAAACTAGGTTTTGTTGGCTCAGTCGCTACAAGACAAGGCTGGCACCGGTTCACGAATGTTTCCGCCTTCGTTGACATTCCCGGCCACCATACCTTAGTACGCAAACGGGCTTTCGTCTTGGCTACGCCTTGGTGCCCCTGGTGAGCAAGCTCGAGAACTCTTTGTTGTAGGGACCGAGGGATAACTATGCGGTTATTTCTGAACAAGACCCCGTCAGAGAAGGAAAATTCGTTTCGATGGCTAAAAAAGAGACCAAGGTCTTTGTTCCAGGTGCCTGACTGGAAAGACTTGAGGACTGTTTGAAGCTTCGCGTCCTTCGCTGTGGCTTCTTTTACTTGTTCGATGGTGCAGGCTCGTGGAAGAGACGCTGTGGTGATAGCATTAATCATTCTGGTATCCGCGTGTTCGCTGGGATTGACGTTAGCACGGGGTGGAGTCGGCTGTCGTGAAAAAACATCGGCTGCGTTCTTTGGACCCGGTTCGTTACGAAGTCGAAAATTGAGATGTTGAATGCCCTGCGCCCAACGCTCGATGCGTGGAGGAGGTCGGGACCCGGGCTTGTAGAGACCAAGCAGTGGCTTGTGGTCGGTTATGATGGTGAAATCTGGCTCGCCGCTGAGTCAGTGGTCGAACTTCAAACAGCCGAATTTGACGGCAAGTGCTTCCCTTTCGAACTGGCTGTAGCGTCGCTCGACATCGCTTAGTGACCGGCTAGCGTAGGCAACTGGTCGCGAAGTTCCATCTCCCTGGATTTGACACAGAATGGCTCCCAGTCCCACAGGCGAGGCATCTACTCGAAGCTCAGTTTTACAATCTTTGTGGAAGAAGACAAAGAATGAGGCCCGCGAGATGCTGTTCTTCAGGCCTTGGAAGGATTTCTGCTGATCTGGTCCCCAGATCCACTTATTACCTGAGCGTGTGAGGCGTCGGAGGGGTTCCGCTTCCGTGGCAATGTTGGGCGTGAATCGAGCGAGAAAGTTAATGAAACCGAGAAAGCTCTTCACTTCGGATACGTTGCTGGGGGTTTTAAAGTACTTAACTGCGTCAACCTTCTGTTGAGAAGGTTGGATGCCCTTGGAGGATAGCTGCATGGCCATGAAAGTGACTTTGTCGACCCCAAAAATGCACTTTGACTTGTTGAGGGTGATGTTATATTGCTGCAGTCGGTGAAGGCATGCGGCATGACGCTTGTTGTGCTCTCGTACCGTGCGACCGTAGATGGTTATGTCATCGTGAATCCATCTTACACCGGGCATACCTGACAATACCATGCTCATTACTCGTAGGAGGATTTCTGAAGCATTGGTGAATCCCATTACCAGAGTGTACATCTGCGTAAGATGAAGACCCCTTGCTGTGGAAAAGGTAGCGTAATTTCTGGAGTTTGGATGTAATGCAATTTGGCGGAAACTCTTGAACATGTCCAACTTTGACCAGATGGTAGAACCGCTCATTTCGTCTGTCGCTTCTTCAAATGTGGGTATGGGCTGGATCTCTCGTTCGACGTGTGCGTTGACGTTGCGCCAGTCCTGTGTGATCCGAACCTCGCCTGGCGTAGACTTCGGGACGACCACGATACGTGACACCCTAGGTGTTGGGCCTTCCACTGGCTCAATGATGCCAAGTGACTCTTGGATGTCGAGCTCTTTATTCCGCGCCTCTCGTAAGTGAACTGCCTTTGTTTTGGTGTAAATAGGTAATGGGACAAGTACTGGTGTGAGACATTGTGTAACCTAAATAATTATAGGACCAGTATTCAAATTTATTGTTATTTACTTCAACTTCAATAGTATGAACTGCATATACGTGATGAATTATGGCAATAACGATTATAGGAACTGAGGAGGGGTGAATTGGTTAATTAGAAACGATAAGTCGAGAGATAAAGGAGAGAAAAGGAAAGGCAACCCTGTACGCGATTCGACCTAACAGTCTTCTTCAGCAGGGTTTTTTAAGAGGGGTGCAGGTAGAATTTGCAGAGGAGAATGAAGGAGAGGTTAGGAGTTAGGATAAGCAATGGCACAGTAACAAAAAGGAAAGATGGAAAGATAGTGAGAAATGAAAAACTACTACATGTTAAAAGAAAAGTTATCCTACCAAATGTCTTGTTATTGCGCGACATTCCAACACCACGCACCTTGCTGTTCATCTTTTGTTTAGTTTGATGAAAAGAGTAATGATACAGTCCTTTCAAATTTAGCTAACTCAATAGTATAGTGAGTATGAATGATGTGATGGTAGGGGTGGGGTAGGATTTATATCATAGTGTGATCATGTGACTAAAGGTGATTGCATCCTAATATGGTGAAGGGAGCTAATTAGACAGGGATGGGGAGGTATGGCAATAAGAGGTGATTAGTGATAAATAATAAAATAAATAAATAATTAGATAAATAATTACCCCTTTACAGGGTTTATTGTTATAGATTTATGAGTATACATTAACCCCCAAAAAACCAAGGGGGGTGCACAACGAGGGTGGTACCTTTTTTCATACGTATTTCGACTTCAACACCTTTGACGCGGCCAAGTCCCTCGAAGACCTTGTGATACTTGGAAAGGATATTCTTCTGTCGTAGCGACGTGAGCAATGATTCTGGTGCAAGGATAGGATTTTGTTGTTCAGTTGTGGGAGAGGGACTGTGACGAGGATCTGGTGTGACTTTGGACGCTGCTGCATCTGTGTGGATTTCGGTTGCAGTGTTTTGCTGCTCAGACGCTAGGCTGTGCAGGCCGTGCGTCTGGTGATTGGGTGGTCCCACATGAAGAATGCCCATTTCCATGGACGTGTCTCTGCCCAGGATAGTGGTGCCCTTATGATTGACGATGACAAATTCTACTGAAGACTTTTTGCCAAATGCATCCACAGTGATATGACACGCGCCCAAAATCTTGAGAGGTTGGCTGCTGCCGTATGGGTAGATACATGTGGACGTAGGCTCCGGCTTGGAACCCAGTTGTTTGACTTTCTGGTATACATGTAAGGGGAGTACGTTGATGCTGGCTCCCAAGTCAACGAGCAATGTTGCGAGAAAACCATTGAGTGGGAGAGACATTCTAGCATTGTTTTTGTTGATATCGGGGTGGGGAGCTTGTAGGGTGAAAATTTCCTCTTCGCTGCTATCGCGTGAAACATACTTTGCAAATTCAACAGCAGTCTCCCCCGGTGTAACGCATTCATTTCGTCATTACGTACCAGGGGCCCCTGGGTGCTTCGGCATGCCTTTGCGAAGTGATTTCTCCTTCCGCAACGACTACATGTCTTGCCTCGGGCTTTATCACATATGCGATGTCCTAGTTCGCCAGAACGGTAGCATGTCTCATGTGACGGTGATTTCCGAGTTTGTTGCTGTTCCTGTTTCCGGGCGCGGTCGACCCAATCCGGTTCCTTTTTGCGTTTGTCGCTCGGCTTCCGGTGTTGACGAAGACTCGAGAGTTCATCGGAGCTGCTTTCTGGGTTGTTATTTTCGCTTATCTCGCTTTTTTCGATGGCTTTAGCGTGCATTTCAGCGGCTTCGAGTGAACGGACGGTCTTTAGTGCCTCTTGCAAGGAAATGTTTGGAGTTTCCAACAGTTTACGCCTGAGTTTAGTGGAAGAACAACAAGCGACAATTTGATCTCGGATTATACTATCAGTTTGGTTGTCATATTCACACATTCGGGCTTCAATGCGAAGTCTGGTGTGCCAAGAATCGACTTTTTCGCCCTCTAGTTGTGTACATTGGCGAAATTGGTATCTTTCGAAGACGACATTGTTTTGGGCTGCGAAATATTCGGTGAGTTTCCTTGTTAAAGTTGCAGAGTCCGTTCCCGTGTCCGTAATGTTATTCTCAGCAATGTCTTGAACGTCGCTGCCTGCACAATGAAGTAATATTGCTCTTTGTCGTGGAGCAGCGTTTATCCCTTTTGCGGCGAGATAGATTTTGACTGATTTCACGTACCTTTCCCAGCGATGAACCACGTTGTTTGACTCGTCGTGCACGTCGAACTTTGCTGGGGTAGCGAAATCCATTGCGAAATTATCTTGACTTTGATGCGACGAAAATAGTTTGTTTCTGTTCGAGAATGTCAGTTAAGGATATCAAATTGCTTTAAGAATAACAAGACGCCGACTCGGCGTTAACCTCGGGTCGGTGGATAGGGAATCGTCTTGTAAATATCCAAAAATTGTACAAATCACGATAGTTTAATAGTTCACTAGTATAAATGGTGAATCAGTTAATCAAAGCTCCGTTTTAATATTTTATTGACAATAATTACTGGCCCTCATCAAACCTATTGTTTTCTATCTGCATTATATCAGCGAAAGTCGACGTTCTACTGAAAAACGGGAGCGGCCTTTTTGGCTGTATAGGGAAATTCCGGCTCAGGGGTAAATGTTTATACGCGTCATATTCTATGTACGCGTTAAAATAGCACACAACATTAATAAAAATAATGCAGCGTGCATCAGTGCACACAGACATTATTAGCAATAATGCATCTTCGTCACCCTGACATGTACACGCGATAACGTGAACATCCCAAGATGAGAAGGTGACAGTGCTAAAGGCCCCCCATACGGTGTCGTCGGGTGCCTGAAGCACTGTTGGAAACGGTCGCTATGAGTCTTTTCAGTTCAATTTTATAGAGAAATAGTTTCGTTTGCGCTTGTGGGATTTTATCCTAGATATACGCATGTGCAGAATACACCATAAGTTTTATTCCCGTGTTTATCCAATACGCTATTTGAGTAAACCTTATCATTAATGATAATATGTAAACTAGAACACTATAATTGACCTCCGCTTGTGGAGATTTTAATTTAGGGCGATTAATTAAACTGAAATCTGTTCTATCACAATGCACTACAGTGCCTATGGTTATGTCTATATGCATGTCCTCACAAATGTCTAGTGTAACGTTGGATAGGTTCATTTTCATACGGTCGCGACAAGCAGCAACGTACAGTAGTCTTCCAGCCGAAAATAATTACTTTTGATTCGGGTCAGTAATTATAATAGATAACAAGTGAAAGTTGGCCGCGGTATTCCCATGCTATGCATACGATGTATTGTACATTATATCAACATATACTCCAGAATAGTTGTCCAGCTAAACATGTATGTCAAAATTATCACATCTTCTGGTTTTAAATCAACAATTCTGACGGATTTTGTGCAAGGACAGCTTCGGGTTCCGTTTCGCTTTGGCCGATGCTTGCCGGAAGTACACTTATTTACCGGAAGTTGTCGTCTCCTCCGCAGGCCCTTCGATCTTCGACTACGCGCGCGGCTCGACACAAATGAAAAACAATAAAAAAAAAAATAGGAGCCGAATTTAAGACCTCGGTGTCGTACCGACCCGAGGTAATAAACCAAAAGTGACTGTCGTTTTTATATTTCATCCACGGAATGCTATAGCATGGATACATGTTGTATATAAAATCTGACTTGGGTATATTTTGCCTCACTGCTTATATATATATATATATATATATATATATATATATATATATATATATATATATATATATATATATATATATATATATATATATATATATATATATATATATATATATATATATATATATATATATATATATTTATATATATATTTATATAATACCTTATTGAATTCTGATCGTTTAATTGGCTGTTTATGGTCACGTGATATTGAATAGAAAATTCCATTTCCCAAGAGTGCAATGGAATACGTTCCATTGCACTCTTGCGAGTGCAATTGTACTATACGTTTTATTCCATTGCACTCTTTGTGTTTTCGATAAATCGCATCCGTCAAAATGCATCTCGTACGGTGATCGCAGTTTATTTTAACCCGATATTCGAAATTCAGTAAATGGGATATAATTTTTAAATTCGACTCGTCAAAATGGCGGGAGCTTGCAGTAAACCTTTCGTTTTGGTCACCTAAGAAGATATGTCCGAACTTATAGACAATTCTGATGCTGCAAATACAAAGAAACAAATAAAATACGCTGTTAGTCGCATGGATTCCTTTGCTTCGTGCGCTGGTGTAACGTGTTTGGACAACATGACAGATTTGGAACTTGATAATTTCCTAGCACGATTTTACGCCGGACTACGAAAGGACGATGGCCATTTATACTCAAAAAAATCCATGCACGGCCTTCGCTACGGTATACGTAAATATTTCCAATCGCTCAAAGGTATCGATATTACTAACAATGAGCAATTTGTGCAAAGCAACAGAGTGTTTAAAGCAATGTTGGTAAAGCTAAAAAAGGAAGGCAAAAGCGTTGTGAAACATAAAGATCCCATAAGCAAAGAAGACATGACCAAAATATTATCGTTTTTGGATGTAAATTCACCACAAGGTTTGCAGGACAAAGTCTTTATTGATATTATGATGTATTTTGCAAACAGAGGGAGAGAAAATTTAGGAAATATGAAAATTACTGACTTTGTTATCCAGAAAAACGAGCAAGGTCTGCAGTATGTGAATAAAAAGTTTTTGACATTTAAAATCTAAAACGAAACAGAATTTAAATTAAAAATTACCGTTTAAGACCCCGAGGCGTGTGAACATATCTTGAAAAATTGTTGATATCCGAACTTTTAAGCAGAAAAGTTACAAAAAACTATAGAATAGATAAGCATTTGCACACGATTAAATTGCATAGTCAACGCAAAAATTATACATGCAAAGAAAAAAAGTTATTGACAAAAATGTGAATCATATAAACCTACGTAAAGTATTTTTGTATGGTTCAGTTAAAGAACGTTTTATAGGAGCAATTTATTTAAAAAAAATAAATTAGGATTAAGAAGAGGCAACATCCATACCAAAAACTATGTAACCTAAACGGAAACTATAAGCAAATAAAACAACCGCCTTGCCTTTCAGGCGACATCTGCCAAGTGTCAATGGCAAATTGCCAATATAATCCCATTTAAAGCCGACATTCTTCAGTTATCAGGAAAAGCTAGCCAAATTTTTTCTCAGTTCACTCTGGTTTCAACGGTCTTCGAGACACGCCCGGCGCGGACATGAGATTCAATGTCCATAATGGTGAGGGCCCTTACTCTCACCCTGATGTTGTTTCTCCAGCTTTTTTGGGGGCCCTTATCCCCAAGAAACCGCACTTTTTGTCACCCAATTTGGCAACAAAGTATTTGCGTGATTTATTAACAATGATTTAGCGACAGTCAACTTCGGTTTATTTACTTGCATAATGCTACTACTTCTGGGTCTGGGTAATTGATCCTGGGTCAAACACATGCATGCGCTTTGAAAAACTCTGGCAAGTGTTTGTAAACAATTATAGGGACTCAAAAATACTTTTTTTAAATATAATTGATTCAATAACATTATAGCAATTGGTAAAATAGACCTACCTTCGTTTTACAATCAATGCAGAATTCGTCTTTGGCTCGCGTGATAAAAACTTCAAGACATATTAGCCAAACATAAAAGCATGTATAAGAGATCCGACCAGAGCGCATTCTCACTCATAGTTTCAATTAGCCATATTCCAAAGTTTCTTTATAGTCCGAAATAAAATGAGAATTCAAGTTTAAATGTTCACAGGAGGTAGGACGCGACGGTTTGTATACAATTTCGAATACTGATCTCATGTCACTCTGAGACACCGGTGATAGCCCGCGGTATCATTGAAATATTTCATATTATCGTGGGCGTAAAATAATAAAGCGTTTTCATTGGCAGACGAGTAATTTATAGACAGGGACGTTGATTATTGTCAGCGTGGTAATTTTTTTAATTTTAATATTTTTAATTACTTTGGCAAAATTAAAAATTTTAGGATTTCGATTTTAATTATTTTATTCTGCTTAATGACAAACAAAATATAATAGTAGTGGAGCATGCACGAAACACCTGCATGGACAGTACTTTGCAAAGTACTGTCGCCTTTAGGAGTCCTAACTTATATTGAAACCCTGCATGAAAATGACAGGTGCATGATCGTCGCAATTCGTGCATTTAATGACTGGACACTGCATGCGTTCTTAATATGTTGGTATTTAATTAAAATACATGGCAGGGATCACGATATACAAACTTCTCTATAAGCAACAATGATTTGGCAACGACCGGAGTGTCATTGAACAAATAGCATAATTCCGCTTCCTAATATATGTTTATGCCTGCATATAAAACAATATGTAAAGCCACGCATATTGATTGCAGTCAAGTGAAATATACCATTTTCAATGCATATATAAATATCTATGGATCATAATTATATTTTCAAACGGCATGATTTCCATGAGGATTTCCATGAGGATTTCCGAGGATTTCAAACGGCAGGATTTTCGTCTCTAAATGAGTTTGCAATAAATTCGGCTTATGCTCCCAGTCCCAAGCTTTAGTTAGTTATAGTTAGTTAAAGCATTAATTTAACCACGATAATTAATACAGACAGAGCTGATAGGGTCGTGGGTTACATAATTATCTATCTGTAGTTAGATTATACTAATAAAGTTCTATTTAAACATTGAACCGCGTAATTCTAAACTATAGTTATACAATATAAAAATTGTTTGCAACTTTCTATTTCTCTTGTCTCATTGTTCAAATTGTTCCATATAATTGGTCCTTTATAACTAATAGACTTTTTCAGAATTTCTGTCCTTGCTTTCGGTAAAGACAAACAATTTCTTTCTCTTAAATTATACCCACAAAAACGTTTTACAAAGAGATCAGCTAAAGCCGTAGGAACGACATGATAATAACTCTTTTGAGACAACTTTGCCAACGATTCTAAATATGTTCTTCTAAGTGTTTTCCAATTGCAAATTGTTATAACATCATTTGTGGGTGTGTTCCAGTCCAGGCAGAAAATTATTTTTGCTGCTCGCACACGCATCTTTTCAAGGTCATTGAATAGACTATTGTTACATGATCCCCATAGAATAATGCCATAAGTTATCGACGGGAGTATAACTTTATTGTAAAAGTCTATCCTAGCTTTCTTTGGCAGGAAATACAGGGATTTCAGAAGATTGATTTTCTGAGAGAAGGATTTTATCGTATTCAAGACATGTTTGGACCACTTCATTTCGTCGTCCAACTCCATCCATAAGCATCTTGTCGACTGTACTTGTTTGATTACATTAGTCCCTAGTTTTATTGCCCTAACAGGGCCTATAAATGATTTTCCCTTCATTAACATGAATTCCGTTTTTCCTGGATGGGGTGAAAGTGAATTATTAATACACCAATCCCAAAATTTGCGTAAAATCTCGTTTAATCACGATGTTACAATGTCTACTGTTGGTCCTACGACATAAATGGTTGTATCGTCCGCAAATACTTCTATTTCTGCGTCTTCTTCTCCTTCTGTTATATTTGGCATATCATTAATGAATAACGCGTAAAGGTCGGGTCCGAGCACAGAACCCTGTCGTACTCCAAATTCTACGTCCATCAACTCAGACTCGTAGCCATTGACAGTTGTTACTTGTCTTCTATTTGAAAGATAATCCTTGATCCAAAGCCATATGTCCCCGGAGATACCCATTCCTTGAAGTTTAAATAAGAGCAAAGGGTGCGAAATGGAGTCAAAAGCCTTTTTTAGGTCCACAAACACTACCCCAACTATTCCTCTATTATCCAAAACGCGTCTCCAATGCTCTGTCATTTTTATCAAAATAATTGGGACGAAGAACTTTTTTGTACGCCCACTGATGTTCATTGTTAAGTCCTTGTTCATATACATGTGTTGTTATACTTGAACATACACTTGATTCCAAAAATTTTCCCGGCAAACACAACAATGAAATTGGGCGATAATTAGTTCTCTCTGTTTCGTCCTCTTTCTTATGAATAGCACATATTCTTGCCATCTTCCACGTATCAGGTACGATAGACATTGTTACGCTTGATTTAAAAATGGATAATAAAGACGAAACTATGGCCTCTTTCGCTATCTTTAACAGATTTGCCGAAACCTGATCGGGACCACAGGCTGCCTTTGATCGCAGCTTCTGTATAGAACGTAATATACTGTCTTCATTTAAATTTATGTACCTAATTGTTGGTGTTATTCGGCCAATGTTACTACGAGCTTGATTTTGATTGGCAGTATCCTGCCTTTCTATTGCCAGAGTTCGTCCAATGCTTGAAAAATGTTCATTCAAAATGTCTGCTTTTTCTTTATTGCGGGTTTCAAGCCTCCCGATCGAGTTTCAAATTGCCAAAATTGGCCTAAATTGGTTTTTCTTTGTGTCCCTTTTGATCAGATTCCAATACATTCTACAATCATGGACCTCATCAAACAGTTTCTGATAGTATTGGCATTTAGCCTCCCTAACGTCTGTGGTAATTTGATTTTTAAGCCTTCTATAGTTAGTCCACGTTGCAGGATTGTTTGTTTGTTTTGCATTCCGTAGAAGTTTTAATCTCAAATTCATCTTGTGCTTTATTTTAGCGTTTATCCAAGGTAGGGACACTCGACGTAATTTAACATCCCTATATGGAGCATGCTTGTTACTAATATCAGTGAATATTTGTAACCAAGCCCATTAGCTATCATCTGGACTATCAAAGACCGAGTATACCGACCACGGAGCCTGTTCAATGTCCTGTAGAAAATCTTTCTGATTAAAGCACTTAAAATTTCTAGTTCGGACTATTTTTGGCGGAGGTCTAGTTACTCTGGTACTCACAACAGCATGTATCAATTTATGATCAGAGATACCCAGGTCTAAGGTCGTGGTTTGTTTGATGGATTCAAAATTGTTTGTTATTATCAGATCTAAAATAGTTTCTGACGTACTTGTAACCCTGGTGGCTGGCTTGTTAACTACGCCAAAGTTAAGTTGAATCAACGAACTATATAATTTATTCCTCAAAGCAGACACTATGGTTCCATTGTCATTAACAGTAAAATCACAATTGAAATCACCAACCATCACAATTTCCTTATATTACAGCCATACTTTTTCTAAATTTCTATCAAAATTCTCGAAGAAAGTTGTACTATCTGGTGGTCTGTATATAACTCCCAAATAAACCCCTTATTAGAATCACTACTAATTCGTAACCATATCTGTTCGATTTCGGTCGCCTCCAAAGACCTAAGCCTGATTGCACAAATATTATTCATTAAATAAATAAGACATCCGCCTCCTTGTTTTCCTTCTCTATCTCTTCGAAAGATCTTATAATTCTCAACTTCTAACTGTTGGTTTGATATCTTACTGTCAAGGTGTGTTTCGGTAATAGCCAATATTTCTAAATGGCATATCTGTAGAAGCAGTCTTACCTCGTCGACTTTATGTCTCAAGTTTCGTATATTTATATGTGCAATATTTAAAGTATTTCGACGATGACTTATTTGCCTTGCGAATTCCTGCAAAAAGCTGTCACAGCTACTATCTTCTTCCCAACCGGGATTCCTTTCGATATCCCCTGAAAGCAAGAGAATTTGCTTCGAGGCAGTTGTATTGCTGTAATAACAAACCCGAGCGCATGACCACCTTTTGCCTACGATTTTGTTTGTGTTCCACTGTGCAGCTATATGTCTTCGAGCATGAATTATAAGACTGTTTTGAACGTAATTTAGGTTGTAAATGTTGTATAATCCGATAGATAAGACCAAGATTATCACACAAAACGTAGATGCCATTATTTGCTCGGATTGTTATAATACTTTTTGCTCAAGTCCAACTATTTGCTTCGGATTGTTATAATACGTTTGCTCAAGCCAAAGGCACAACGCGTTTTAGTTACTAAGATTATTAAAAAAAAAATCAAAAAGAGGTGATCAAGTTTAGATTCGTGTCAGACAAAGATTAGATGAGGGTAAGCTTAGGATTATGTTAGAATTAGGATTAGGGCTCAAAATTTGTTGCGAGTTTATTGTGTTGATAATTCTGGACGTTCACAATTTACTCATACAGTAAATTCACTCATGCTGAATATTTTACGATTTAACTATTTAATAAGAATAATATAATAATAATGGTCCATTAATACATTCACTAAATAGCTTAATAAGCTAAAATCAAAAATTGAAGTCGTGATTGCAGACTCGTGCAGGCTATTCCCATGAAATGAGAAGATTCGTATGTTTTCTATTTCTTAAACAGGGAACTTAAAAATTAGGTTAAACCCAGGCGCGGATCCAGACTGATGCAACTGATGCGAATGCATCAGTCAAAATTTTCACACGAACGAGAATTGTCAACATTTTATTAAAATATATTTAAATATTGTTTGTCTTTGATCCAAAGTCCTTTAAAACAATATATTTTCACAGGAATGAATGTAAACAAAGCTATATTTCGCAAATTATTATGAAAAACGTAAACGCATATCAAATTTCGCACTTATCAAGTTGTACGATTTTGTGTCGCGACTTTATTTCGCCACATATGTCGGTGTTTAGTTTGATGCATCCACTGTTATTACAGTTCAGTGTATGCATCACTACGCCACGTTGGGGCCGGCAGTACATCACTACGTCACGTTGGGGAGAAAAGTGCATCAGTGGCGCATCGGTCCCGAGTCCTTTGGCCGAGTTTTCCCAACGACACGTCACGAAAACCATTGTTTTCATGCCTACGTAACGTTGGGAAATGGATGCTGACTGATGCGTTTAGCCCGCGATCAAAATAATGCGCTTTTGACTGATGCATTTCGCCCGCAATCAGAACAGTCAGTGATAAATTTTATGATGGAATTGTTATATAATGGCGGGAGTATTAATGTCGCATTGTATGGAAATATTTTACGATCTTTGGTGGTTCACTCAAACTCACTGAGCCTCAAACCGTCGAAATAACAATGTCGCATTGTATGGAAATATTTTACGATCTTTGGTGGTTCACTCAAACTCACTGAGCCTCAAAGCCGTCGAAATTAAAAGGTTTGTCAGCTATTTCAGTAATTTCACAAGGGAATGTTTGGGATCTGTGTACTGTGTTTATAGATGTAGATTTAAACGAGTGAGTCTGTGTGTGACTGTGTGTTGATATTTATAATAAATACTGTAGGTATAGGTATATTTGTCGTAGTATAAATATCACAATTTTACAAAATTTACTATATTTGAACTGTTTTAAATATGTTAACATGGATGATCCTGTTTTGGCTGTTCACATATAAACACTCAATATGCCATTCAGCCATTATATAGTGTGTGTAGGGGGGGAGGGGGGGGGGTGGAGGTTGTGTCTTAATTTGTTTGAAATTTGCAAATTGAATCTAGATGCTTGATAGTCTAAGGAACTCTGTCTAGGATCCTGCAACCCTTACTAGCAGCTATATTCCTGGCACCTGCCGGTGACTTGGCCGGTTACTTGTTAGGTGCTGTTTCCCCAAAACACTGCTATCTGTATGATTAAACACCATGCCTTGGTTGATGCTCACACCCGACATCAATACCGGCACCTAATTAGATCCCTCCCATATCCAAATCCATCCCTGTATGTGCATCATTTTGGAAATGGGAAGCTCTTGAAAGGGCAATGTTTGGTGATAGTGAGATTAGTTCAGTTATATATTATCTCTATTGTTCCAGAATCATCACCTAGTACCAGAAGCCATCAATCACACTAAATGGCATTACATGTATCAGGGTTGCCCCTGCCAAGGTGAGGGGAGAGGCACAGGGGGTGACCGGCAAATTATTGTGATGCTGAAAATAAAGGGGATTCACATGTTTAGGAAGGGAATAAATTTAGCTGGGCTCTCTCAAGTTCGGCCCCTTAAATTTGTGATGCTTTTCCTGGCATTGTTCATATGCCTTTAAATTATACCATTCTCATGACCATGGCTCAGCACAAGGTGTTCATTTTAAATGTACCAGTCTAATTAGCAGTTATGGGACCAAATTACTGTTCTGATCATTCTATCATTTATTTTCAATACAACAAAAGGTCATTGCATAGAATACATTAATGTATAAATTGATAAATTATCTCACTTTCATTGATAAGTCAATGTACTAATTGAGTTGATCACAATATACTGCACTGCCACTGTTACTGAAGCTTGTCAATCCTGCTCATGCAATCAGATACCTACCAAGTCCATAACATGCACTTCTCCCTGTCTATCCTTAATATCTTGAAACAGCAGTTTTGGATACATACAGTAGTCCTAGACACTCTCCTGAATGTACTGTAATTTGGGATTCAATGCAAAATCTGTGGAGATATATTGGTCAATGTATTGTAGATATCCAGACTTCAAATACAATAGATTAGAATAATCTATTTTCTGCAAATAGTTTCAGTAATTGTTTATTTTTATTATTAACTGCTCAGCAACAATGAAAACTATTACCTAACCCCTTGAATACTTTGATAATCTTACAGTATTTAAAAATTCAAACTGCATTTGTCAAAATGTTGGATATAAATGCATCCATAAATATTAGAGTGACTAGCTCCAGAGAGGACCTTCATATACAGTAACTCAAAGTTGCCCTGGAATTAATCCTGGATTATTAAAATAATTTAACTGGAATTTATGTCATGGTGGTGCTGCTGGAAGGTATTTGACCTGGAACATTGTTATATTGATTGGTGTTAACTGGTAACAGGAAGTGATAAGTTACAGGAAGTGATATCATTGGCAATAAATATAATAGTTTGCTTGAAGTATTCTTATCTATTTTGCATAAGAAACACAACCCTGATCAGCTTTTCATGTCATTTGCACCATATTTTACATAAAAAAATGTCTGTGGTTTTGCTTTCAATTATTCTATCAGTATGCTGTGTACATGTAAGTAGTGTACACTTGTATGTAAAATTGTAAATTATAGCTACAACTTTGCTACTCTATAATCCTCACTCAAATAGGATCAAATAAATAAGGCTAGTCAAGTTCCGATCTGATAAAACTCCGCGTAAAAATGTTTTCAATTTATTTTAAAACTCACATGATTATGTTGTTCTCACTCTATAAGGCCGATTTTTTACGGGGTTTTTCCCGAAAATCCAGCAAATTACGTTTCGATTTTGATGTGTGAACGTCGAAGAAAAGCTCCCTCAGAACGCAGGAAATCGCATTTCCGAGGTCCTAGATTTCAAAATTTCCCGGGGGAGGATTCCCCCGGACCCCCCTACAAATACGAGGTTTAGTGCATCAGTCAACAAAACCACTGGATCCGCGCCTGGTTAAACCTATTCCAAATACATTTTTTAAACTATTAATATTTGACGACAGTGCAATGCCTAGAAGTTGTCAAATTTGACCTCTGATGTTGCTTATCACGTGCAAACGTTTCAATCGTCATGCTGATGCCGTGTGACGTACGTACGTCATAAGACGAACGGTAACGAATATATGAAGGCCATATTTGTAGTAAATTATATGGTTCGGAATTTTGTTGCTTATTCAATTGTTCATGGCGCAGATAACTGATTAAAAATCAAATTGTTTATTTGACGGCGGTATGACGGTTAGTAACTCAAATAGTAGGGACAGTACTGCATCCGATAGTCAACTTCGAGTATGGACTCGGCTAAGTCGGCTTTGACATACGATAATGCACCAGATGCCTAACAGCTTCAATAGGCGAAGTGATAGAGACATTTACTTCAAGGCATTTTTTAACTTTATAACTACTGGGGCATTTACCCAGTAGGCCCTGTGCTTGCCCAAGTAGTGAAGAAGATTTTCAGATGAACTGGGCACTTTTAATCTAATGATTAGTAATGATTAGTAAAAGTCAACCCTGTTGAAAAAGCTGCATCTGCCTGCGTTCTTATATCCTCTCACATTCTCGACATTCCGTCTTACAAAGTCAGAACAGGCTTGGGTTGGGTTGCGCTAAATGGGGCGTGGGCGGGGTTGTGGTGTTTGGAACACCTCCAGTCGTCAGTCAGTCGGAAAATGATTTAATCCCGGTTGAAAAGGAAGGAAAGAAAATAAAATATTTGTGTGACACTGATTACAAACTAATAATTGTAGCTAAAATTTAGAGAAATTTACGAAAAAATTACATAAACAGTTTTTCCCTTCATTATTCTTTCCATTTTTCTTGGTTTTGTAAAATATACCAAGTCTTCGAAAAGGCTCAATCAAAATACAAGGTTCACTGACGCGTGAAAATGCGGTCAAAGTTTAATAACGAACAAAATTTACCAACTTTTAATCACTCTGAGGATCGGTTTCTTTGCAAATTGGGAAAGAGATGCATGGGTATTCCTTCAGAAATTCAGAATTCATGCAATAATCTAAGTTAGAACTGCCAGAAACACGGCCTTCGTCTCTGTCGCGTTTGTTGGTTTCACTATAATTCGCCAGTATAGATGATAAAGTCGTGTTCATCTTATGACGTCACACGGCATCAACATGGCCGATCAAAAGTTCGCACAGGAAGTGCCAAAAATGGCTTCTTTGGAATGCTATAAATTGGTTTGTATTGATCAATTTCAATTCCGTTTGTGCATGGTAAGCAGGTCAGGAAGAACGGCACTTTTAATCAAGCTAAAAAAATGTGGGTCAGAAATATCATTGTAGTAGAACTTTAAGAATTGTTGACAATTCCACAAATTCAGTTACATTCTAATTTTTTATCAGGATATCATGATTTACTGTGCCAAAGAATTTCACAAGAATATTTCTTGTTTTCAACTGCTTTTTGTATTTCATCAGTGATAAGTGTTACCTCCTGCACTGCATGTGGGGAAACCCCAGACTCGTCCCCAGTCGTTATTTGAATTTCAATTTTATAGGGACAAATAGTAATATATCCATATATATATATATATATATATATATATATATATATATATATATATATATATATATATATATATATATATATATATATATATATATATATACCGGGTGTCCCAAAGAAAAGTACTCCGGTTTGATTTATAATAACTTCTAAACAAGTAAAGCTATCAAACAAAAATAACTTCCATTAAATGGAGGAAGGACTAACTTAGATTTTGATATGTTACAGTTGTATTTTACTTAAAAATTCACGGAGATATTAATGTTCATAATCGGGAGCATATTTTGGGATGTGTCTAAAATTAGCGAAAATTGGCATATCAAATAATAACTCCAGCGTTTGTTTGCTTAATGACATATCAGGTTAACTTGTATTTCAGCGAATTGTCGTTAGGGTTTGTAAGGGATATGGCGTAGATTTAGACATCTCACATGTAAGTCTTAACTCATTGTTTCCTGAAATATAAAAGTTCGAAATTATGCAAGTATTTAATAGGTCTTTGCAAACTTAAAGGTACACGAAAGACCATGCAAGGCAGGTGCTTAAATTTTTCTTAAATAGCCTAATTTTTTATGTTTTTCATGGGTTCAAAACAAAGTTGATTATTTCTTGGTTAGAGCAGGATGAATATTATTCTTTAATGAAGGTAATAATATTGCTTTTTGCCAATGCACATCAGTATCAACGCTACTATTTTGTTACGTTTTGTTCCAAAAATGTTGGATGTCTCTGGGGAGTTGCTTGTTATGTCTTTATGGAGTTGTATGCATGGTTTGATTGTGTTTCATTCTCAGTTTATTCTTAACTTGCCAAGATTAAGAAAGGCAAAAGAGTTTGGGTGTCCTTATTACAAGATTTCAGAACGTTGCAGAAGTTAGAAAATTCATTCAATGTGAAGTTAGAAAATTCACAATTCCATTGTGACAGCATGCCCTAATTCAGAACTACGAACAATCCATGACGATCCTTTGCGATGCAGTAGTCTCATGAAATAAGAAACGTATTCGTGCTAGGAACACACGCGGATTTCGGACGAATAAATCTTTCTTGTATTTTGTAGATAATAATACTTTGTTTCATAATAAACAATTTGTCAAATGTTGATTTATTTACTGGTAATAGTGCATGTTTCAGTCGGGCAAATCTTGATTAATATTTGATACGCCGTTTTTTGCATATTTCAGACACCTCCAGAATTATGATCCTGATTTTAAACATTAATATTTCCGTGAATTTTTAAGTGAAATACAACTGTAATATACCAAAATCTAAGTTAGTCCTTCCTCTATTTGATGGAAGTTATTTCTCTTTAAAAGCTTTACTTGTTTAGAAGTTATTACGAATCAAACTGGAGTACTTTTTTTTGGGACACCCGGTATATATATATATATATATATATATATATATATATATATATATATATATATATATATATATATATATATATATATATATATATATATATATAGATCAGTACCAAAGGTGGACGCGCGCAAGGGGAAAAGGGAAGGCGAGGGAAAAAATAACGACTGGCAGATTACAGAGACAAAATGGCGGACAATTTGACAACAAAAGAGGAAAGACTATTTTAATATACACCACAGAGCGTTTTTAGCTGATAAACTCCCTTGTCCGCATGAAGAATGTCAGTATAATTTATCTTGCTATGATCAAGATGGTTTAGACCACCATTACAGGACAATCCATAAATGTTTAAAAGGCGAAAAGTCTTATTGTGCCAGAGAACTGAGAGAAGCACTCATTTAATTCGATTAACAACAAATCGAAGGTATTCGTAATTCTAGAGTGTTGGATGCCTTTAATAGCAACCTGTGTATTTCACAATTTGGTTGCAGAAACTACAAATTTTTTTATTTATAAATTACTTTATAAAGTGCTATTAACTCCAGGTTTTGTGTAATATGTGCCAACTTAAAACTTTGCATACAAGGCTATCAATTAAATCAATGACAAGACTTTTGGAGCATTCAAATATTTCCCAAAATACCTGTAAATAACAAAGTATACCCCCCCCCCTCCCCTAAGTAATGTTGCTGTATGATGAAAAGACATTACATTGGCCATTAACAACACATTGTTGGGGGAGGGGGGCACAGGATTGTAAGGGTAATATAGAAGCTCAGGTGGCACATAACTCCTATCATAGCCTTAATTAAACAATTTGGAAAACCAGAAATACTGTATCAATGCACTGGAGGCAATCTGGCAATTACTTCTAACTATGTTCTGACAATCCTTGCACTCATAGTCCTTGAAATGGGAAGGTAATTTCTACCTTGTATCATGGCCAACGTTTAGGGCCACTTTCAGTGCCGTAGCAAGCTCGATAATTGGGGGAGGCTCATATTCATATATTCGTGTTCTGCGTTATTAATTTCTTTTGAAATTGATTGTTTTTATGGACTGTGAATATGAATATATGAATATGAGCCCCCCCCCCCCAATTATCGAACTTGCTACGGCACTGACTTTTGATTGATATACCATTAAGTCTGATAATTGCACCACCAATGGTTCTGGTTTTTCCCATCATCATTTCTGTACTCAACTTTACAACATATAATATATTCTTGTTTATTCCAGAATTATCTTACAATTGGGACACCATTTATCACACAATTGGGAATTTGTCCTGACTCACCCTGGTTTCCCAATTAAGCCCTAGAGTGACAGCACTCTCCCTTGATGAGTAAATTGTCTGGTGTTAGACAGAGTAAAATAATAATGTAGGGCATATCAGGGTGCATTGCCACTTAAAGGTTAATCTTGATCTGGGTGGCAAAATACTGCAGTACCAAGCAAGATGTATGGAAATTGAAGACACAAAAGCTGGATTAATTTTGAACCATTTTAATTGGACTTCTTCAATGGAATTATTAACAGTGAATAATTTTAAATTAATTTAAAACTAAAATGTATTGTAATTACAGTTAGTGTACATGATGTAGTGGAGCATGTATATTATATTAACTTAATAAAGCTTTATACTTTCATATGTTATCATCACCATCATAGACAGATTTTCGGATTATGCATGGTGGGGGGTTGTGCAGAAAAATTCAGGGGTGGAAGGTGAGTGAGGGCATGTAGCCACAGAATAAGGCACACAGAAGGTCGACTCTAGTAACCACTGCCACACCATGATTCATCATCAAAATGCTGACGCCATGGTCCTAGCCAGTGCGCGTTTAAGAGGCATTCCCCCCTGGACGTTCGCCATTTTGAATAATATCAGGGGGTGAATGCCTCTCAAACGCGCACTGGCTAGGACCATGGCGTTAGCATATGATGACGAATTACAGGTTACGCCTAAATTATAGGAAAACCCAAGAAGTCGGCCTTCTGTGTACCTTATTCTGTGACGTAGCATCCTGGGGAAGATTAACCAAAACACAATATACCAGACAAATATAAAAATATTATGTCATTTGTAATACAATGTTATGAATTGGATTGATCATGTATTGCATATGCACATCGGCTTTTACACATGTAAAAAGAATATATTTGTTTATGTTCGCACAACACCCTTTTCTTTTCGCAGTTAGGAAATATGGCTGCCAAAGCTCTTGAAAGGTGGCTTTTTACACTAAGATCATCAGTAACAACATCCTCTTGTTTAAGTCTCAACCCATCTGTTTTGATGCATATATTCTTTAAAGAGCCCTGAAGATCTCCAGGAACAAATGTGCTAACATCACCTGCACATTCAAACAAGTGACTTATTAAAAATACAAGTTCCAACCTTGAACAACTTTCCTGCATTTAGTTCTTGGTAATCCCGGACTCTTAGAATCTGGTGTTAGGTCGTGTTTGACGTCAAATGGCAGTAACTTTCTCGTTTTAGGAGTTCTAGGAGTGCTGGTCTTAGGACATTCATCTGAATTTATGGAATTGAAGTCTATAGTTCAGAACGACAAAAATTACAACTTGAAACAAGGCAACATGGCGCTAATCAGCCGAGCGTATAATGAATTCCAGTTTCTTAATTTCTTTAGTATACGCAAATTTATGCTACGGCTCAAAGGGTCAACAAATTCAAGACATTCAAGTGGTAGAATGTATTATATTATCTTTTAGACTCACCATCTAAGTTCATCAGAGTCCGCCATTTTGAAGTACTCCAGACTTGACCAATTGAAGGCCGATATACTTGATAAAAATATGCACTTTGCAGAGACTACATCATAAAATTATCGATTCATGTATACCAATGTCAAAAAATCCAAAATTGAAGCATAAAATATTAGTTTGCAAGAAAAACAATTTCTTGCAAGAAAAATCACAGTAATCTGCCAGTCGCTAAATTTTCTTCTTTCGCCCTTGCCGTGAGCCTCTACGCGCCCACTTCTGGCCGTGCACCCGCTCTTAAAGCGACTGGGGACGAGTCTGGCCCTGTATGGCGTTACTTTACATGTGGATATGATGAAATGCGCTTTACATCAAGTATTACGCTTACCTAATTACATACTGAGCCTATATTATTTTAGCTTTACAACAATTGTGATATTACTTTCTTAACGGCTATTACTTATAACAAGGAATGGGGAATCGGGGAAAGGAATCGGGGAACGGGGAATGGGGAATGGGGAATCTCTAAAACCCGGAATACTAAAATGGGGAATCTCTAAAACCCGGAATACTAAAAGCCGGAATCTCTAAAACCCGGAATACTAAAATGGGGAATCTCTAAAACCCGGAATACTAAAATGGGGAATCTCTAAAACCCGGAATACTAAAAGCCGGAATCTCTAAAACCTGGAATACTAAAAGCCGGAATCTCTAAAACCAGGAATACTAATATGGGGAATCTCTAAAACCCGGAATACTAAAATGGGGAATCTCTAAAACCCGGAATACTAAAAGCCGGAATCTCTAAAACCAGGAATACTAAAATGGGGAATCTCTAAAACCCGGAATACTAAAAGCCGGAATCTCTAAAACCCGGAATACTAAAATGGGGAATCTCTAAAACCCGGAATACTAAAAGCCGGAATCTCTAAAACCCGGAATACTAAAAGCCGGAATCTCTAAAACCCGGAATACTAAAATGGGGAATCTCTAAAACCCAGAATATTAAAATGGGGAATCTCTAAAACCAGGGATCATTGTAAAAGCCGGAATCTCTAAAACCCGGAATACTATAAAATGGGGAATCTCTAAAACCCAAACATAGCGACATCAAACCAAGAAGTGTATTAGTCTCCAACACCCACATGGCAAATCCAGGGGCGGCGCTAACCCTCTTCGAGTGGGGGGGGTGTGCGAGTGATCTTTTGCCGACTGTTGTTTGGTAATTTTGCCGAGTCATTAGCCTATAGTAAGGGTCCTGAAGGGGGGGGGGTCCCAATCCCATTTTCCACCTGAAATTTTGGCAAAATCCCAGTCCCAGTTGGATTTTTATTAGAAATCCCAGTCCGAGTTATTGAAATCCCAGTCAATAAAAACCCCTTTATTTATCGGTAGAATAAACAGTTTTAAGACCTTTTAAGCCACCGTGTGTGCAAGTGGCGGACATTTTATGAAATATTGGGGGGGAGGCTCGTGCCGAAGGCACGGAAAATTTTTAAATTCGAATCCCGGAAATGGCATTTGCATCATTCTGAGACACGCATAATCAGAAAACCCAAAATTTCTGTCGGCATCCATTTTGCAGCCCTCGAAAAGTCAAAATCTCGGCATTTCTTAAAATCTGTTCCACGTCTTGGAGCACTATTAATCACGCATTTACGAATTATTGAAATCGGAATATAACTGGAACGTTACCTCCAGCCGGAAAATTCGAAAGTTGGAGCCAAATTTTAACTCCAGACGCGCGAAATTTGATCTTCAAACATCTAACGTATATACACAATACACAATACCCGTCAGTTTTTAAACCTTACACCGTAAAAAATTTGCATTGCTGCATGTGTGGTTTCTTCGATGCATGCTATTCGTGATATTCGGTTTGAATTCAATTATTCAGGAAGTCAATTTTGGTTTCTTCAGTGGTTATCTTTAGCCAATCCAGTTTTGCCGACTGAGATAACAATTTGCCGATTAGCTGACGAGTGGGGGGTGTTCCACATTCCCCCCCACACCCACCCCCCTGTAGCGCCGCCCCTGGGGGGGGGGGGCACAGTACTAGTTTGCCCACAGGCGGCCCAATCTCCGAATGTTCTATATATTTTGAATATTTATGCGGAATATTTCAATCAGAGGTCCTATGTAGTCCAGTGCCAGTACTGATGACCGTTCAAGTACGACGAAAACGGAAAGCAATCGCACCAACTAAACTCAGAAACACAACAACTGCATTCTATTAACAAGTTGGATATATTTTTAACATATACTGCTAATATTTTTTGAATGATTTCGTTATTAAATATTATAACGGTTAAATATTCCGTATAAATATTCAAAATATATAGAACATTCGGAGATTGGGCCGCCTGTGGTTTGCCCGACCGTTGCTAATTAATATTTCCCCCCGCGGGGGGGGGGGGGAGAGGTCGCAAAAAAAATTTTCCCGGACATACCCAAACATTTCCCCTAATATCCCGTACTTTTCGCAAACATACAAAAAAATTTTCGGACATACCAAAAAAATTTTCCCTTGGCCTATATCCCCGTACTTTTCGCAAACTTACAAAAAAAATTTTCGGACATACCAAAAAATTTTTCTCCTACCAGTGTATCCTGTAATTTTCGCACACATACAAAAGTTTTTCGGACATAACATAATTTTTCCGAAATTTTTATGTTTTGCCCGAATGACGCATGGATTTCTGCCCGACCGTAAAAAATTTTGCCTCC